CTGATGCCAGTGAAGAAGGGGAACAGCCAGCAGCCATCGCAAAACCCAAAAAGCAGGCAGCAGCTTGCGTACCGTACGTAGCTACTACAACAAAGAAAAGGTAGATTGTCAAAACCACGAATTATATGGCTCTTGCAAACGAAATAATAACAAACGGGGTTTCAATCTATCGATCGATCGATCGATCGATAAAAAGGAAAGAAAAATAGCTAGCAAGAATGTTTATAACAAAAAGCTAGCGAGACTCACCTGTAGCTGTAGCACTGTAGTACTGTAGCACAGAACACGACCGTCGACAACCGCTTCGAGTTCGAAAAGGAATGCCAACCAGCAGTGCACGTAGATTTATCATCCAATTCCAAATCAATCAAATCACCGTTGTGTTAGAAACGAAACGGATTTGAAAAGCCTCCGTTCAAATTGAAGGGTTGCTGGAGGAAGAAGTTTTGAAATCTTTTGTAGAGAGCAAGAGAAATGAGAGAGAAAGGACCTTTAGAAAGGCGGGACAAAGACCTCGGAGAGCACTAATCGAGATCGAGAGGATTGGAGCGATTTTGGAACGAACCCGGGAGAAAACGTACAAATATCTATAAAAAAGGGAGGAAAAACGAAAGAAAGAAACCCCACGAGCAAAAGTTTGAGGACGAAGTGGAAAAAAGAATTTGGAAAATCAGCCGAGCGGTTTTGGCTGGTAAGCGTCTCCAAGATCGGGCGGTGTCGTTTGAACCGCTATGCGATTTTGACCCAGGGATCCGCTGGAGCATTGTGTTTGGCTTTTGTTGTTTGAGGAGAATAGAGGAAATTTGCATATCCGCATATTAGTATTAGTAGATACAGAATGATAACAAATTGCACACCAGTGAATAGATGTTTTAATTTCTATTGTAAAATCTCACATTATTATATATTTTGAAAAGGAAATACAAATATATTGTCCAATCAGCATTGGGAATCGGAAAATACGTACCTTCGATGTCATCCAATCGAAATCATCAACAGAAATGACGACATTCGACATGTGAACAGTATGCAAACATATTTACACATTGTTTCCTATCACCGACACCACACCTTAACATTAGCAAAGTTGCCGACATCGCAGGGTCACGCCAAGATGTAAGTACTTTGTTCCGGTCACCCAAGTCAAGTGAATGAAACTTCGAAAAGTGTCAGGGGGAGGCACAGGGTGTCAATAACGGAATATTATCGAATTTGAAGGGAGAATGTCACGAAAAGATACTAAGAAAATGTCACAAACTCGTGAAGAGAAAATGTTCGAAAAGTGCCAAAAAATTGCCAAACTTTAGACAGTTGCCAAATCTAAATTTTTAGTTGCCAAACAACATGAAAAAGTGCCAAAATTGGCAATTTTGGCAACTAAATTGCCAAATTGGCAACCCTGTAGGCAACTGCTCTGAAGAACCTACAGAAAGAACAGAAAATTCCAGATAATGTCACTTGTCTAGTTCTAAAGGGCAAACATTTTTGGTGATTTGTATCTAAGCACCGGTATCTAAACAACAATAGCATTTATGCAAAAACAGGACACTGCATATGATTTTATAGTTTTTTTCTAAATTAGCAGCAAGTGTTTTGGTAAATTTTAAATCTTAATCTAATAGCAAATTGAACAATATAAGATTTGTCCAAGATAAAGTGATCAATAAACCCACCCATTCTCTGTACCAGTTTTCCTGTATTTGACATTTTCTTTTGTTCTATATTTGTCTGCCAAGTGTCTTAATGACCATTTTGCCAGACAAAGTTCTGAAAATCCTGGATGTTGAATGATGCATCGAGGGACTTCATCAACATCATCAAGCACCCTTTCATCACTAAAACACGTGGCAACAGCTTCTAGCTCTCTGCAGCACTGGCACTCCTTTGCAGTTGAAAGCTTTTCTATATGGCAGTGGCCACATGTACACCTAGTGTTCAAAAAGGTATCAATTTGGTATAAGATGAAAAACAAAATAAAAAAACAGATAGATAAAAATAGAGAATAGCAGGCTATTTCGTGTGAAACATTGCAAGAAGGTCTTAACATCAACACCCTTAACATAAAGGAATAAACATACTTTTAGTTATTTTCAATTAAAAAAATTCAAGCGAAATTGTATATGGTTCGTGTTAATGCCATGTAAAAACAATCCTCGAGGGTAGAAAAATTTGAAGCCACTAATAACGAACTTTGCCCTCTGTGCCCTTAAACAGTTGGAATTGATGATATAGTCTATTTAATATCAAATTTATTTGTGTATTAATAACTAAAAGATATAATTATAAATGCGTCACCTAACTACAATAATAAACCTCACGGTTGCAACGTTGGCAAGTGAGGCCTAATTAGCCAAAGATTTACAGATTATAATATGCTACTCACCATGACTGAATTGTTAAATAACAGCTAAGTCGCATCAAAAGAATTTCGTTTCTCTGTCTCTCCTCTTCTCTCCCATTATAGTACTGTGGCACCCAGTTCGCGTCCACCATAGGTTCTCCGGTATAAGGCCTATCGATATCATCATCGTTGCTATGTGCCCTTCCTTCCCTTACAACAAATTCAGGTTCTTCATCTTCTTCCTCAAAGTTACTTTAACTCGTGTTTTCAGAACGGCTTGGTCGGTCTCAGAGTCGGAACTCATGTTTAAAGACAACAGTGTGTAAACGTCTACCTGTTGATCTTTAGCCCAGTTGAGCTGAATTCACACTAGAGGCGTTTTTTTGCCACTGCCCATATAAGGTTAGCGTTTTTAGAGGCATTGCGTGCGCATCACGTTTTTTTTTGCAATGCTTCATAATGCGGCGTTTCATGGCAAAGTTGGATTTATCCAGCTTTAATCGTTTAATCGAAGCAGTGAGAAGATACCCTTGTTTGTACGATACAACGAAAAAGGAGTATAAAGACGAGTCAATTAGGGAGAACGCTTGGCGAAATGTTTGCAATGAAGTACTTGAGAAGACGTACCAAAACGAAAAAGAACTCATTGAAGGTATGTGTCCTAAATCTTTTGCATTCCTGTTATGAAATATCATGCATGTTCTCGATTTATCAAAGAAGGAATGTCAATTCTACAATTAAAGCAGAATGGGAACAGCTAATTTTTTTAATGTAGGATAACTTGGCACCTTTCAAACAATGCCTGATTCTTTCATTGAATTTTTCGTATCTTAAGGGGGACACAAAAATAGTCCTGAATTGTAAGCATGACTTTACATGACAAGCGTGATATTTTGAATGAAAAACGTCGGATAAGATCGAAGTTTAAACTCTTTTGATAAGAGTACTTTATAAGAACACAAGCCACCAAATGTTTTCATCAGTGGTATATTGTTCATGTGTAGATTTCTTGATGAACAAATCAAGAACAACCCAGCCTATGAAAAGTTTTTATGCTACAATATTTAACTCGAGTCTATTTGCTCTTTCATGTAGATAAAAATGCCCTTAAAAAAGGTTTTCAAAAACCTGAGAGTCTGGAAGTGCTGGAGGTGTACCATTGGAGCCTTCGTGGCCGTTTTTTAGACTGCTTGAATTTTTGGCTCCCTTTCTGAAGCACAGACAGACGCGGGGAAATCTACAGATGGTCAGCGATGATACTGTACAAGCCTCTCCAGAAAGCTGTTATTCTAATGCTTTGGAGGTCGATGAGACGGAGCAGCAGCTGAGCACTCTTTCGTCCGATACGTTCCTTATTTTGGAACAGACGCAATCATCAAAGCCAAATTCTCCTGTTCCTGCTGCACTGAATGACTCAGTCGTTTCCAAAAAAGGCAGTACAAGCGATTTTATAAACACTGCCAGTAAAAAAGGAGAAGCAGACCAAGACAATTTGTTCGGTCAAAGCATAGGAAAAGAGCCAAAAAATTAAGTAAGTATCAGAAGAGCCTTGCCAAAATAAAGATACAGCAAGTTTTGCATGAAGTTAGGTGGCAGGAAGAGCCAAAGTAATGCATAGAAACTGCTCTAATTGAAAAAGTTGCGTCTTTTTGTTTCAAGTGTCTTTTTGTTACAATTAATACTGTGTTACCTTTCTTCTGTATTACAGTGTTTTTTATAAGAACCAGTAAATTTAAGTTCAGGCTGACTGTTCTTAATTTTTTCGAAAATCTGAGGCTGGCCTAAGGAGGTGTTCAGGCCACATTTGCCAACAAAGTGAGTGAGACAGCCTTAATTTGCTGACAAATTTGAATATTCACCGAAAATGCACCCACACATCGCTAAAAATCCTTGATTTTGAGAAAAAACGTTGTTCAATATTGCATTTTGCAGAATCTCGGCCTCAGCTTGTTCTTTATTTGTTCTTAACTTTTGACCAGTTTTGAGGCTCGTGTTCTTATAAAATTGTTCTTATAAAAAATAGAGTGTATATAAAATAGAGAATTAATTTTTATGCGTATTGAAAAAGTCTTATTACACAACGGTTTCTAAGTGCATTTTTTAACGGAATAGATATCATATGCTTTTTTAGGAAAAGTGGCAGAAAAATACCTGCATAAGAGCTATAAACAGCTTGATTTTCTAGACAAATATTAAAGATAGAATTTATGGGAAACAGAAATTTTGAAGAAACACATTTCATGACGCATTAAAAGATTTTAAGAGATGTTCAAAGCTGCCAGATCTTGATTTGTCATTATTTTACAGACAGTATGAAGTTGTTTTTTTCCTTCTCTGTACATCGGTCTTGCTTATTTTTTTGTTTAAAGATCATTTTCCAAAACGGGTTTTTTTTCAGAAAAAAATTGTAACTTGTCCTGAAGAAAGAGTAAGTTTTCTATCAAAAAAGGTCATTATTCTGACAAAAACAGGCAATTTTTAAATTTAAAGAAAAAGATTGGGCAGGGCTCCTGTTAAATAGACTACAAACTGGATGGTAATACTTCTTCAAATCGTTTTCTTTAAATTGTTTCCTTCAAACTCAGTCGGTATATCAACATGGTTGGTGAGGTGCTATTTTATAGATTTGAAGTTGAATTGCACTGAATAATAGATAACACTCGTGTTTTTTTGACGACACTAAAAATTAAGAATATTTGAGTAATCCATTCCATGACAAATGATGAAAATTACGTTACTCAAGTAAAAAAGGTCTTTTGGGGAAGAATTGTTTTATTCTAATCTGTGAAGCGCTCAACAAAGCCAATCCAATGGAAAATGAAATTATTTGCAATTAAAAAAAATTAACTTTTTCAATGTTCACCCCTTTTCATATTTTCATCATACAGGTTTTTCTCGCGTGCAAATAACATTCATGACTTGTAGGCTGTGTAATTTCATACGAACATGCTATTTGTGTAATGTTTGTATGGATCTGTCACTAATGACCTAGTTAATGAGGTGTTTTTAATGCTCTTTGTGCTATTTGAAAGAAACGTGCAATAATGGAGTGGCTAGGAAAATCTGGTGAATTTTCTCACGCAATAAAAATTCTTTCTAACGTAAAAAGGACAACCAATTCGAAAATATATATACATATATATATTTTAATTCTTAAATAAGTAGAAATATAATAAAATGAAAAATTATCAAGATATAACTGTAGCCTAATGAACTGGCTCATATGAAGTCCTTCTAACATAAGTGTACTGCCACAGAAGTTCGCCTTGTGGAGATACAAAAAAGTCGGCCATCAAAGCACAAAATCTCTCTGCTGTTTTTGGGTAGTTGTTCGACCCCATTTGAGTGATATCAGCCAGGGCACCAGCTTCTGAAACTTCGGATCTCCAAATCCCTTTATGAACGATTCCATGGCTGTCGTCGTAGTCAACATACCCAACTGGGCAATATAGGCGTCGGTATGATTTCTGGGAATCATCATGCTTTTTTAGCCAGTTATGGAGGGCAATGGCTGCGAGAACATTCTTTGCTGCTTTATCTGGCTGGGCCTGTATTGGGGCTCTCAAAAACCTCAATCTGCCAGATAAAATGCCAAACGCATTTTCAAATACCCGTCTTGCCCGAGATAATCGGTAATTAAATATTCCAAGCTTTTCTGTTAATTTTTTCCCAGGATAAGGCCATTGAATTGTTTCTTTAAGAGGAAAAGCTTCATCAGCTACAAAGCAGAATCTTGCCCTTGTTCTTGTATTTGGTAGGAAATCATCAGTTGGGATATTAAGATTCCCATTATTCAGTGTATCACCAAATGAAGAGTTATTAAAAACACTAGAGTCATTTTGCCTCCCGTAGTCTCCAATATCAACGTAAGTAAAAATGTAGCTGGCATCAGATACTGCCATCAAAACGATGCTGAAAGTTCCTTTATAATTGTAAAAGGAAGTGCCTGAATTTGGAGGGCAATTGATGACACAGTGCTTTCCATCGATGGCTCCAAGACACAAAAGAAACCCCCATAAATTCCAAATATCATTTGCAAGTTTTCTCCAGTCATCTTGAGATCTTGGTGCAGCCACTGCAATGAGGCTCAATGCACACCAAATTTTGTCTGGCACTTCGTTTAAAATGTCACATAATGTAGACCTCCCAATCCTATAGTTGTACGAAAGAGATGCCTGTGACTCACCAGTCATCTCAGCTTTCAGATTGTTGTAATGACCTTGCTGCTCTCGATTTTTCCAAAGTTTTCTTACCCAAACTGAGTGCGTTTTCTTTTCCTTTCTTTTCAGCAAAGTTGCGGCAATAGCTTGAGTCTGTAATGCTAAAGCAAGCAGCATGTCTCGCTGGACACTATTTTAATTCTGTCATGAAAACGCAGAGCAATGTGACCATATGTGACGCATCAGATCTGAACAAATTAATGCGATTTTCATCAAATGCTACATGCCGCAATGCGCCGTGCCGCAATGCGCCGTGCCGCCATGCGCTGTGCCGCGACGCGACGGGCCACGACGCATCTAGTGTGAATTCAGCTTTAAGGAGTTCTTGCAAAATGGGGCAGAAGTCAGCATCATTCCGGACCCAGTCTCCGTTTTGCGCAACATTACACAAAATGTTGCATTTTCAAACCCCTTTCTTGAGGGTATATCAAGACTGTTATGGTTAAAAATGCTTAAAGTTGCCAAAATTAATACTTGGCCTTAATTTAAGTCAGTTAATGCTTATGGAAAAATTTTGAGCTGACCTGATAGGCACTTTAAATAATTCCGAATCGCAAATCTTGATTTTTTATACAAAGAAAAATTCAGATCAGGACTTCGACATGGAATTGACAGTAGTTCTGAATCTAATTTCTTCATGATCTCTTTGGCTTGCTTACTATTTTGAGAAGGGTCATCATCTTTGAAACCAGATCCTAGTATTTTTGTATGCTTTTTTGAACATCATTTCAAAGCTTCATTGCAAAAACGATGCAAAAACATACCTCTGGCAACAAATAACCTCCTTGCCATAGCTAATAACAACAATCATTTTCATGTATTTGCCCCGCGCCATAGGCCTGCCTTTTGCCAGCACAGTCTTGATTACGGCCCTCGCGTTTTTGGGCCAAACACGGCCTCTTGGGGCCAAGGCCTGGTCAAGATGGTTTCGTTTGTAAATAAAGTCACACCTATCAAAATAGAAGGCCATGTCTTTTGACAAAAATTCATTAGGGCCGTTTTTTGCATCGTTTCTGTGAACTATTGTCTCTTTGACTTGTCAAGCTCTGTCATCAGTCCTTTCTTTCTTGCCTGCAGGAAGCGTAGTCCTTCTTTGTTGAGATAAGGTGATACATTCTGATGCAAAACGGCATGCAGTATATACTAGAAATAGCTCTTGCTAGTACTGCCCGCAAACAATTAGTTCCTTGATGATGATTGTTTTGAAGATTTAGGTCAGGACATTCGAAGAAGACACAATCTTGGGTTTTCACAAACAGGAACAGAATCAAACTATTTACAATCAACGTATTCAGCGTATACTAGCGAGCTTATAACCATTTCTAACATCAAGCGTGAACAACTGACTCATAATTACATTATCCGACTTCGAGGTCTCGGCACTTGTGAAAGGATTAACCCGATGTTTCTCCTTCACAACAATAGCATTGGTTTTGTCAAAAAATACTTTGGGAATGATAATACTTGAGAATTTGAGAACACCAGGTACAATCATGGGGGGATGTCAAGAAAAGGAAGCAAAAATAAATTGTTTAAAACAGTAACCAAACATTATTAACATTACAGAAAAGATTAAAGAATGCAACTAAACTGTTGTTAATAATAATAGGTACTTTGTTCTATGCGTGGGTACCTCACCAGTAAGGCTGCAGTTGGTGTTAAGGGAGTACCAGAGAAAGGCATGGAAACACAGAAAGATACTGTTCCTGCCAAACAATGAAAGATACTCTGCCTAAAGAAACTCTATGGAATGAAAGCATTGTACAAATTTGATAAGAAAAAGGAAGCTGAAGCTCATATTAAGTTGTCTAGTGATTGTAGGTGATATATTGGCAGCCCTGGAACAAGAAAGCAATGCTGTTGTAATTGGTAATGGATACATTTGGTAAATGTGGTATCATTAGAATGTTAAAAGTCGGGGGCGATTTTGATGGTCTAAAGTAATTTTTCTTTTGAAATTGAACTAGAATATGTATGTTGACATCAAGAACACAGTAGAAACTGTTGCAAGAGATGGCCACAGCACCAGTGGAGAGAAGGCTTGTTTGAAAGGTCATTAACTATTATTTGAAAACCTGATGTGCCACAACTTTGCAAATATGACAAAATTAACTTGAACAACTAAACTTTGTAATAGTTAAAAAACAAGCATAACTAAGAATGTCCAATACATGTAATAATAAGATAACATGGGTATAACATATATGTATAACAATAACATAATATATATATATGTATAACAATAACATAACACCAACATAACGCCAATTTCTCTTTATGTAATAAAGTGTGCCTTCTAAACACAAATATGTAATATTATGAAATTGAAATGAGAAATACAAAAAATGTTATGCATGGGCTTCCATGCGAGTAATGGTATTTCTGGAAGTGAGATGGAAATCAATATTCTCCAGCATCAAAATTTTATCTTCAAGAGACTGGGGTGCTGAGTGATATTTTGAAAGTAACTGGTCTTCTTTGAAAAATTCTGCAACCACAGCTTCAGATGCAGTTATGCTTTTTGTTACCCCCTCCTGTGTAATATCTATCACACATTGGAATAACTTTGGACAATTCTTCAACAGCATTCTCTTCTTACAAGAAAGACAATTGGCTAATTTACTGCCAGCTTCAAATTCAATATTCCCAGAGCAGTTACCATTTGTGCAGACTGGGCTAATATTTACCATTACTGCCATAATTTGTGGGCAACAGATAACTGGAGATGTAGCTTTAAGGGCATCATTTTCTCTCTGCACATAATCATCAATATCTACAGTTGACCAGTCAAATTTTTCTGATGTCTCCAATTCTGTTACATGTGTTTCTCTCCTGGTAGTCAGCTTATAACCATAAAAATACTTAACAGAGACATCACTCAACTGATAGAACTTATTCTCCTTGATGGATTCAAAATGTTCTTCCCAAACTGATATCTGAATATGACCAGTGTTGTCAGCTATTATTGCCTCTCTAACTTTGCGAGAAGATTGTGCTGTATTCTTGCTTGGTGATGCTTCTGGAAATCGTCGAGTTTCTTTTGCAGCAGACAACCATTTGATTACACCAGTAACTGTATAAACACCAGCAGTTTTTGTCTTTAAATCAGCAATAGACAGATTTTCAGCCTGATCAATTTTGAAATGCACTTGCGAAGCCCCATTTGAAAATGTGGAACCTCTAAAAGAATTATAAAATCCAATCCCCAACTTTCCGGACTCTATATTCTTGAATGTAGTTGGCTCACCAGACTTCAAACGCTGTAAAAACATTGACTTGTTGATTGATGGATTTGACTTTATCATAATTCTGATAACTGCAAATTCACTTGGTGAAGTTTTTAGTTTCACATCAAAATAATCCTTTCCAGAACTGCTTGTAATGACTTTCGAGACATCAACAATATAGCCATGAAGATCTATCAGATAAAGTTAAACAGACTAATAAAATAAGTGATAAACTTTATTGAAAATGTAAAATGCATTCAAACTTACTGGATACGTTTTATTAATGGAAACACAAGAATAGAAGATGCAAAATTAAAATTTCGTTTGATGTAAGATTTCATCATGTAATATACAGTATAATACATAATGCAATGATATATTGTACAAATATTTTATATGAAATGCAAAAACAACACAGAGAGTACATTTTATTGTACTTTGCAGGTAATGTTACCCACACACTGTGATAGGTTAAGGAAAAAAGTGAAGAATAAAACTTACCTTCGGGCATAGAAGTTGTTGCAGAAGGACTGCCAGGAAAACAACGTTTTTTGGGGGAAGGTGAATCTGCCATTCTTTAATGTTATAACCTGAAATAGTGGCATTGTATCTAATATTGAACATTGAAAGTAGTAAAACAGAGACTTAATGAAAATGATGCTGATAATCATACTGAACATTACAGAAATAAGATATGAATCACAGAATTTAAAACAATAGTTTCATAGAACATGTCAAAGATGTATTTGTGGCTAATAAATGAAGTCTTTCTTCTTCTTTACTTCTACTGCTATATCCTTTTGAAAATTGTTTGAAAATTTTGAAAATATATCCTAACTGCTTGGAGTCTTTCTAATGTCATACTTTCTATAACTAAGTCATTTATTGATCTTATTCTTGAAAGAGCAACATATGTTAACCCTGGGCAGGTCTCCTTTTTACCTAAATCAATCCAAACTTTGTTTAAGGTAAGTCCTTGTGATTTATGGATAGTAATTGACCACGACAATCGTAAAGGAAGTTGCTGGCGCTCATAAGAAGGCCCAAAGCTATCAGAAATACTTGTTACTGCTGATATTGGCACTAAATTTGATACAGTTGAACTAAAACTGGGGCCAATATAATTATCATGAAACTGAACCAATACTGAAATAGGTAGATTTGGTGGGCCTTGTTCTGTTTGATAAATAATATCATAAACAACACCTATTGCCCCATTACAAAGGCCTACTTCAGTCCACAAATTCCTAGTGAGCATTACCATTGCACCTTTAGATAGCAGTAGTGTTGGTTGTAAACCACCCATGTCATCAGCTGGTTGTTTACTTGCAGAAACATTATTATGTTTGGCATTAATTCGTGCTATTGGGACAGAAAGCCGAATTAAAGAATCATAATTGTTTTCAGCAACACTCTTGTTTCCAAAAGCCAATTTTATAGCAGTATCCTTAAAAACTGATAAATTATCTACTTTGCTTGGTGTTCGAGTCAACAGAATTTTCCACTGATCTTGAGATATATTACCATCCCGTAAATGAAGCAATAGATCTCTCAGTTGTTTTTGGCTTTCACCAGTACCAGCAGCACGCTGATTTGTTATAAGTTTGATAACATTATCAAATGAAAAGTAGACACAACAACCTTCTGTAGCTACTTCTCCACCAGGCAGCATATTATAGAGAGGCTTGTCAATAACTGGTGGTAACTGGGCGATATCTCCAACAAGAATAATGGATATTCCACCAAAAGGTTTCTCATTGTTACCGGTTGCCTGCTTCAATCGTTTACTTATCCAACCAAACATTTTTTGACCAATAACTGAGTATTCATCAATCAGTAAATAATGCACTCCTTCCAAGTCATCTTGAAGTTTTTGTAGTGCTTTTCCATTTAACTGACAAGACCTTTTCTCTCTAATTGGCAGCCTTTGATTGTTCATCATTCAAAGAGCCCACATCAAAATCTGAAAATACATTGGCAGTTGCTTCTGCAAGGTTATTAATCTGTTTCTGGCTGTCTATCCAGGATGGCATGTTTCCAATTTCCTCCTGAGAATAACTCTTCTGTCCTTGTTGCCAATATTCAAAATCAGTCTCAGAATTGACAGAGAAGTATTGACTTGATGCCTCTGTACTGCTATGATGATTAGATAGTAGCATCCACTCCTCTGGTTCTGCAGCTTCATTATTTTCATGAAACTGTTCATCATCATCTGAATTTTGAAAATATGTGCATATATTTGTCAGTTCTCTGTTCCACTCGGGCACATAGCAATGTATATTTGGTGTATGCAAAAAATTATTCCAGTGAGTTACAAATACTTCATTTGTATCATCTTCATTATTCCATGCAGAACTCAGGGTATTTGACCATGGTTTGTATTTTAGTAGTTGGTACTTGCAATATAAACCATAGTTTGAGCTTTGTGGAGAACTTGAATACCTTGGAAATGTTTGAACCACAACATCACTTTTTCGTTTGTGAAGTCTTTCATTTTTCACAACAAATTTTGATGTAAACTGGATGAAATTTAATGAGACAATAGCAGGTTCATCGTTGATGAAATTTTTTCTAAAAGCATAGTTGTCAAGCAATGAAGTGTGAGTCACAACTTCACCATCTTCATTTGTTAGTCGTCTGATTCCGTCAAAAGACACAGACACAACTTCAAAAGAAGAACTGAAAAGGTTTAGTGACAAAGTTTGATGCATAACTTCTTGAATACTCATGTCTCTTTGTCCAACAGCTTTCATCATTAACTGCTTGATTTTCTTTGAAGTATTTCCTGAATCAGAAGTTGATTTGATAGATCTGACAACAGAAATAAATGCATCTCTTGCAACATTAGAAATTTTCTCACCTTTAGAAGTATATTTTGCAAGGTATTCAATGCAAGCATGATAGTCAATGACAACATTAATATCACAATTTGCTCTCCAACCTTGAAGCTGAATCCTTTGGTGTCGATTCAGTCTGGTATCATTTCTAGCAGTAACAACTTTGGCTCTGTACCTAATAGATTTATCTTTTGTGTTAACACTCTCAAATTCAAGATGTGTATACTCACATTGCCTAACAGGAAAGTCAAACCGGCACTGTAATTTTTCATCATTTCTACGCTTTAAGCAGTAAAGAGAATTGCAAATTGTATGTCTTTGAACTGTGTTTAATAAATCTTCATAATCATCATCTAAGTGTTGTTCTGTAATATCTGAAAACCTTTGTTTACAGGGGTGAACATCAGGTTTTATCCACTGCATTTCTTCAGGATTGTTATTATTCCATGTTGATAGCAAAGAATCTGTGTAACAACAAATTACTTTTTCAGCTTGCAAACCTTCATCTATTTGCTGTTGAAGCTGTTCAATTGTAACTTCACCAGAATTAGTAACTTGACCATTTTTCTTTTGTTTAGCAAGAAACCCCTTGAGTGCAATCTGTGTCAGTTTACATAATCCAGGATCATCCTGTAATTTTGCAACACCATGGCAGTGAATTGAGCCTCTCTGCACTGCAAACTCATATCTATACCAATGCCACTCTGCACCTAGAGTTTTATACAACCACCATTTTACAAAACTTTTTACTCTTTCTGTAAACAACCAATCAAATATATGTGGGTTGTTTAATACATTTGATCTGAAATTGGAGGATTGCAAATTTTCACCAAACAATGAATGAAACTCAGGCCAGTGAAAATCTGCACAAGACAATGTCCAGAAAATTGTTGGAGGTCCTTTCTGCTCAATTATAGATTGCAAATTTTGTTTTTTCTGGTTCCAGTAGGCATTGGTTCCTGAAATATTTTTGGCATAATTTAAAAGTTTTGACATCATGTAATTATGATCATTATTTAGTAGCATGGAAGTCAGTTGTTCAGTTGTTAAAGCTGCATCTCCTGGATTCTGTCTTATAAATATATTGCTTTGACCAAGTAGTCGCCATCGATACAACAAATTATATGCCCAGTAAGCAAACCTTGGGTGAGAAGCAAATCTGTATATCCATTTACCATCTACAAACTCTGCAAATTTCAACTAATAATCTATTGCAAATAATCTATTGTAATATGTTTGTATATTGGATTATTAGCCACCAACCAGTGTAAAGCATCAGCTACAGCTTGGCGACGTAGTCTAAATGCTTGTGATTGGTATTCCTTTCCATACATTTGTATGATAATGACAGGAAGGTCCTTTGCACATCTAGGCAGTATATCAGCTAACTGCTGGACATCTTGGGGTAATGTTAAAACATGACCTTTGTAAGCCCTCTGACCACCTCTTGCCTTTGTATACACTTGAATAACTGGGAAAGCCCTGGCAATTAGCATTTCTTCAAACTGTGTAAGATTTTGCAATTCAGCTGGAACAGGAGAAGGTATCATATTATTTTCTTTGCTAAATTTCCTTGGATACCTTTTGTCTCTTTTACACCTGGAACACATGTAGTTGTTATCTTGTAAAGGTGGGAGTTTACTAATTGGCCAGGCTTCATTACAACAGCAACATTGAATAATTTTCATTTTCATTGATTCATGAAATTTGGAAATATTCTTGTACCACTCACCAGTAACAATGTTTCTATTAGCATCTTTTTCTGGTGTGCTTTTACCAGGAGAAGCAACTACTGTCGCGCCTTTTACCTTTCTTACACCATGTGAAACTTTCTTACACCCTGATACACTGCTGCTTATAACTACCTGTACTTTTTTAGAACTTGAAACACTAATTTTGTTTCTTTTACCATTGCAAAAAAGCTTTTTCAGTGTTCTTTTTCTGCCGCTCACATTAAAAGCTGAATTTCCCATATTATTGCCATCCATTTGTTGGTTTTGATTAACAGTTTCTTTGGAGAAGGTACAGTTTTTATTGATTAGATGCGCAGAAACTTTTTCAGAATAAGGAGAAGTTGGAAGTGTTGATATTGATGTCATTGTTGACACTTGTGAACTTAGCACATACATCCCAAAAAACCAACCATGGCTAAACTGATCATACAATTGTCCTATTGTTTGAAATGTTCTAATTTGATTGCATAAGTCATCAATAAATATCCAAACAAAGTTGGTATTAACTGCACATGTAAAATGACCATTTAAACACCTTGCCATTCCTTTCAAAGTATACCTTACTTCATGTATTATAATATATTCAAAGAATTTCAAATTCTGCAAAGCATCAGGTGCTAGTTCAACACAAAGTACTGTTGGCGGAATGAAATCATAAAAATTTATGCCAGTTGCATTGGCATGGCACTGATCACAAAGTAAATTATTGCAGGTTGTATTGCTTGCGGTTATAAAAAGATACCAATTTTCTTCATTGAAACCAAATGAAAACACACCTCTGTTTGTAATATAGTGAATAAAAACTTCCAAATTTTTTATGAAAAACTGATGACAGGAGTTGCAATAAGCTTTAAAGATAAACTTTGAAATCCATAGACTTCTTTCTGTATAATTCATAATGCCAAAACACCTTTCTTGAAAAATTTCAGAAAATTGTGCTTCTGCATTCATAGAAGTAAATGAGGGGCAACTTAATCGTAATAGTGACCATATTGTTTCACGTGTTTCTTCCAACAAAATGATAAGTTCTTCTGTTAGCAAAAAACCACTGCTTTTTAAACCATGGTACTGAAGTAAGGTAGTTCTTATCTGTTGATGAAAAGGCCCCAGAACCAAATCGTCTCTCAGGTACGGTAACAAAATATAATATGAAACTTCCAAAAAACAATCCACTGCACAGGAAAATACACCTGGGTGTCTTCTGACAGAATTCATAAAGTGTACATGATTAAATGGTAGCACTGATCCTGACATGGCCAAACAGAAACATAACCACAGAATACTGATATAACTGATATTGCTATAGTCTACTCATGATTATTTAATGAATAGTCAACTTGCAGTAACTAACAGTAACTATTTTTCTCGGAGGGTAGTCTTTACCTCATCCAAGCACTATAAAGCTCTTACAAGTACAGGTCAGCTAAGTCCAGCAAAGACAGATACATCAAAAGCTCGCTTTAGCTATAGTCTAACTGATTTCCCTTTTACTCTGCGAAATATAGGCCTAGCTAGGTAGTTTAAAAATGCAAAAAATCTTGATGCTCCCCGGTTCACAATTGATATTTAACTGCTAATTCAAAAACATTAAAAAGTACGAGGGGCAAAGAATATCACAAATTCAATCAAGGGTGGAACACTCCAGCAAAACCTTGATTCTTAAAGGAATCAATATGGCGGCGGCATAGACAAAGCTACCACAGAACACAAGAGAAGAAAATGGCAACATACAAATCTGCAACTACTTTTTATTTCCTCTTTTTCGGTGTAAGTTTCCATATAATTTCAAATGAGAACATTTACTTGCTAATAATGAAACTGTAAGCGTTTTAAAATCTCCTTTTCGCAAAATGATGACGTACCTTCACACACACTGCTTTCCCTTCCTCCTTGTCGAGGTCAACTCCCACGCTGATATTTTCACGCTTTTGGCTCACATGGCATCGTCTGTCACTTGATTGATTTGCGAGCGATTGTTCCACAGTGCAACTGATTGTTTGTTGCCATAGCAGCAGCAAAATTGATTGACGATGAAATTGATTGACAGTTGTCAAGGCAACAAAAAAATGACAAAATCTGCTGACAAAGTGCTGACAACATGAACTGAAGTTTCCATATGCTACTTATACGCGGGGCAGACTATAAGCCCTTCACTCGCGCGCTGTCGCGCACGAGTTGCGGGCAATAAATATATTGATATTCAGATATCAAACATATAGATCTATTGGTATATATATAAATGGTAAATCCAGTCTACTCTAAAAACAGCTGCACCAAATATGTTTTCACTTGCACCAGTTCACAGTGGATAATCTTTGAATTGTTGAAGCACATAATTGTGTAGGCACCGAACTTGGCACTATGGCCCATGCTGTCATGTCTTCTATCTCCACCAATAATGTGTTGTTCACCTGTGTTCTGTATCTCAGTAATCATTTGGCTCCGATGTTTTTTCCAGAACAATAGAATTGATGGGAATAACTTTTCCTACAAGCAAAATTTCAATATTCAGACTGTTTTAAACACAGTTTGATTTTAACATGTATTACCAATTCTTACATGCTTGTCTGAACCATGTAATGTTTAGCAATCAATAACTTTGTGTACCCATCAAATTAAACACTTTAGATGCATTATGATGTATCATTTACCTGCTGGTGTTTCATGAAAGTCTTCAAACTGATGCAAGCCAGTCCCATGTTCTGAAAAATTCTGAAGACTTTTGAAGCCGTTGGACCAGCAGTAAAAATTCCAAGTGACAGGAATAATTTTCCTGCTGGAATTGCTGTTTTTGGAATGAATGGTTGACTTCTCCCTACATTTTCCTTTTTGCAGCAAACAGGTTTTGCACATAGTATTTGCACTTTGTTTAACATCAATAATGTGCTTCGAACCTTGCAAACAGGACAAAAATGAAACAGCAACAGCAATTGTGACAGGAAAACATAAAAATTTTGGCTCCTTGTTCAACCCTGGCTTTGCGTTACCAATGCTGTTAAAAGATTAATGTTATGTACACAAATGATCAGATAAAACACACATCTATCTACATCATCCTGAGAAATAGATAGAAAATGTAAAAGGGTTTCCACATATGAAAAAGATATTTGTGAAAGAGAAATGCTGTGAATCAATAAAAATCACAATCATTACGGATATCATCTGCCAAGAATTCAGAGTCATTGTCAGAATCATAATTTTGATTTTCATCTGTATTCTCGGCCTCAGCTTGTATAGCATCAACCCCAATAGTATCTTCATTAATTGAAGCGCTACAATGTTTGTTTGCATTTTCTGGTAACTATAATATTGATAATAAATCACTCAACGCCATTATTATAAATCACTCAACGCCAAGTATGTCAAGAATTGCCCTAAAAACCTTCACTCTACACAGAGCTAAGATATTTTCTACATATCAACAACATTGGATGTCATTAAATAGGTAAGGCAGGAACTAGAAATGAAAGAGGACAATGTTTCCATAATTAAGGTGTATGCTATTATTTACCATTTTGGAAATTATTGCTGCAGGTATTGAATGCTTGTTAGTGTTAAGAATATAACTCAATCTTTATCCATAATTGGAATTTATAAGGATATATCATTTCTGTCGCATAACTTCATCAGTTTCTTTGAATTCAAAGGGAAAAATGCCAGTTTTAAACAGTGCAACATGATATGGAGGAAAATCTTTCTCACCTC